TACTATTTCCAAAGGTAGCTTCAATAACAGATCCATTACAAATCATTTCACAGAGGATTTCAATAATATCCATTCCTAAATGAAAACTGCTATCAAGTTTCCCATCTCCAAGTTTTATTAACCACTCACTATGAGCAGAATCCTCTGACCTCATATTTGTTTTAAGAAATAACTTTCTTAAACATCCCCAAACATTACAGTACTTTAAACTGGTTTGTACTATGGCTGATCGCATAGCATGCAGTACAATACTGAGACATTGTCGAAAATCCCCTCTGAGAAGGAGAACTTTCCCACCAAATGCAACATTCAAATTCATAATTTCTCTTAGTAATCTGTCTATGGTGCTTATACATGACTGGATGCCATGGTGTATTCATCAATAATGAGAAGTTGGGACTTTTTAATGGTTTTAGCAACTTCACTATTTATATTGAGTCTAGAAATTGAAGTTTCATTTAATGGAATTGGTAATTTATATTGGGAATGAAAGGTTCTTCTGCCAAGAAGTAAATTTGCAGCAATTCCTGTAGATGCTGTGGGGAAAACAGTACCACCACAACTTCTAATATAATGTATTAAAACTTTATAAAGATATGTCTCCATGCTCCAAGGGCAGTTTCCTCCCTCAAACCTTGCCCTCACTGGAAATAGCTCGGGGAGGGCGCAGCCGTTGCCACAGTGACCCAGGACTCAGTGCCTCCAAGCTCTGTGGGCCCTTTCCTCCCTCAAACCTTGCCCTTGGGGGAAACAGCTTGGAGAGGGCGTGCTGACTGTAGGACTGACTTCCTGTTGGTCAAACCTAGGTCATGACAAGCATTACACCCAGGGTTTTTATATAAATAGATAGGAATTAAAGTTTAAATGATTTGTTGCAGGCTCTAGAATATGTCCTGGTTTTCTATCCTTGTGATCATTCAGGCTCTACAATGGAGTATGCTCAATTTTGCTTTAAAACCAAGCATTTCTACATCATAATCTGGCTCCTATGTGCTTAAGGGAAACAAACATGTTATACTACCAATTAGCTAATGGAACTCATGTTTGCATTACACAATTTTTTATTTGAAAGTAACCCTCCTTGGCTACATCCCATACACAGTTGAACAAGGAAGGTGGTTTCTGCAGTATTTGAAAAAGAGATCTGTGGCTGCTTAATCCTAATTCATCAGAAGAATCTCCAAACTGTCCACATCCTGTTTATTCTACATGTGGATGAACATGCATTCCTATATACTGGGAACTGTCTCTTAGATTTAAAAATTAAAACCTGGCAAGACTACTCTAACACTGGAAAAACAGGACGATGCTGTGATGACATACATGGACTCTGGCTTGCACATTTTGCAGTCAGCCCTGATTCTGACACTTATAATAAAGCCAATTACTTAACTTCTCTCTGCTTCAGTTTTTCCACCCATAACATGGGGAAAATGGTACTACTGCCTCAGAAGGATCAGGGCAAAAATATGTAGCTGCCCATACAACAGCGATATGCCTTTCACCTGTATGAAAAGTATGGTCACTGGTGCATGCAGCATTCTGGATTGCGAGAGGGATGTCTGACTGCCGGGGATCGGGCCAAAACCAGCAGTCAGACATCCCCTGAGGGGGTCTTGGATTGTGAGAGGGTGCAGGCCGGGCTGAGGGAATCCCTCCTTCCATGCATGAATTTCATGCACTGGGCCTCTAGTATCCTACATTGTCACATTAGAGCCATTTCTAGCACTGTCAAAACCAACACAACTTATACAGTCACATTGTTTATGCTCTTGATCCAGACTTTAGTTCAAGGAATGCAGAATCTGTAGGAAAACTTACCCTCTAAACGGCCATTCTTAAACTTATGAAAAATAAGTTCACTGGACAATAAAGTCAAATCAATTCTTCTGGCCTTCTGATTCATCAGTATATTAGCTATCATGAGATGTGATGACCAAATGAAAAGACTCAGAAGCTACAAATACTGTTTGCACTGATCCCCAAACCCTAGTGTATCTCAAAGACAACTATTCAAGAGCCCACACTTGTCTTTGACCAGAAGAAAGTGACAGCCCTATCTTTATATGGCTAGTAAGGATCTGAAATGTGCTTCTCTTCTTCTCCCCAAATGTACATAATTGTGGAGATATTATGATTCAAATGCTCTGTGTACATTGTTTCCTCTTATCTCCCACTGAGTCTTCTCATACCGCACTATTTCAAAGGAAAGAATTCAAGTCATTTTATATTTACTGAGTATCTCCCTAAAGTATAGTTATGTGCTAGGACTGGAGGGTGAGGGGCTCTCACAAAAATGTAGATGTTCTAGGGAATTATATTTTATTATAAACTTATAGTAGAAAAGTTGAGTGTGTCCTATAGTTGATAAGTAGCAGGAGACAGACTTGACTGATGGGATAGAATTACCTAGGCTACAAGGGTTTGGGAAACCATTCCACACATATGTAGGGCACATGAGCAAAGGTATGGATGACAGTGATCCATATGGAAAGGCCATAATTTTATCAACAGGTATGTGTTAGCAAAGGAGATACATAAATCTTAAGGACTAGGGCGCAGTAGTTCCAAAAGAAATATCTCTCTGAGTTTCACAGTGAAATACAGAACTGTTCAATCAGCATTGAAGAGAAGCATTTTGGTAGTACAGCCAAAAATACATAGATAATTATGAGCCTACAAATTGCAAGAAAATGCATCCACACTGGCTTTGAAGGAGAAAACTAAGTTCTGCCTATTACTCCATAACATGCCTAGCAAGAATCATACCAAAACAAAATGCTAAATATTGTCTTGGATAGTAACATTTGTCATTAAGCCACATGATATGACTCAAATAGATCATTATTCTCATCATACGTGATTATATACTGAGGACGTGACATATGCAAAGCTTCTACTAAGACAGTTAAATTATAGCCATGATTTCAAGGAAGGATATTAGGGCCTCTGCCATAACAAGTGAACCCTACTTTAAGCAGCTCCATTAAAAATATTTTAAAGATCAATTAGAGCTCTCAGTCTCTCTCTCTCTCTCTCTCTCCCACTACCAGAACAACATTATTTTACATTGTGAGCAACTGAGATGACTTTAAAGTTAGATTACAATAATACTTACATTTATAGCTTCCCTATGAATTGCTTTCGGCCTCTTCTCCCACAAAACTATAGCAGGAATTGTTCTAGTCCTCTGACCCTCTGGCATTTTTCTAAAAGCCTCAGCAGCTCCCATTCCTATTTTCTTTGTTTGTTTGGTGTGTTTTTTGTTTGTTTGTTTTTATTGGTCAACTTGACATCCATTATTTAGGGTAAGAAGTATAATGGGAAATGGTTATTTGGTAAATTTCTTATGTATTACTTCCAGAAACATGAAGAAGGAGACAGTGATTACTGTTTGTCTTAAATACTAACAGCAATAATAGCTAACATTTATTGACTTTCACTAGGTGCCAGTCACTGGACTAAACCCTTTCCATAGATTATCTAATTTAATTCTCACATTTTTCAGAAAAAGGTTAAATAACTTATCTAAAACTACACAGCTAGCAAGTTTGAGGACCCAGGATTTGAACCCAGGTGTACTCATTCAATAGTCTACTTTTTAAATAATTACACCATATGGACTCCTGGGCTCAGTTCACAAGCATCCACAAAACCTTAACAAATCATCATGGAAAATGAAAATTAAGTATGCATTTACATTAATCCTTGCATGGACAATGTCCCACCAATGCTATGTTATAATGTGGTCTTTGTGATTATTTTTCTAACCACAGGTATAGTTCTCCATGAGCCATTTACTTGTTCTATCCTAAACTTATTTTTGATAAATAGTAAAGATCTAGAATTTATTGTCTTAAACCATGGAACAGAGAAAAAACTAGTTTAATAATCAAACTTTTATTTTTATTTTTTTTATAATCAAACTTTTAGTGTGGACTTCTTTCACACAGTTCCTGTAATGCTTGGGAATATATCTTTTTTGGGGAAGCCTTCTATGAACTCACTCTAACCACTTATTTCTTATTCTTCAACAGGATAAGTTCACCCATCATAATTCTTCTTCTTAGCAATTAACTCCAGTATAATTGTATAATTAAAGTAATATTTGTAATATTAAAGTAATATTTGTAGGTTTTCAACTGGTCTTTAAACTGTGGTATATAATTCTGGCTGAAGTGGTATATAATTTATAACTAATGAATATTTACTGAGTAAATATGTCTTCAAGCAGTGATATGCATGCAAATTATGACCTCAGAATTCTGTCATCATCATTCTGTTAAATGGGTTATTCTGTCAGTTATTGAGGAATTCTATAATCCTCCCGTTTTCAACAGTAGTCAGAGATGAAGAGAAAGTTTATAAATGTTGGTCTCTCTGACCCATGATTTTATAGCTTAGGTCCAAATAAATCATTGACTCTAGAGTTGGAATAGAGCTAACATACCATATAGTTTATTTTCTTTCTCATACATATGAGAAAAAAAGAAGTCTAGAGAGAGATGAAGGACTTATCAAAGATCATACAACCAGTCAATGATGAAAGCAACTATGAATTTCTAACTACCCAGGTTTTTCTAAAAGTGCATTAAGTACAGAAAGTAGAAAGTTAAAAATAAATAGAACAAAGCAAACTATTACCACAATAACAGCAAGTTGTCAAAAGATTAGTTCCAGTGCCAGAGAGTTTTTTATGTGAAGTTCAAGAGGTTAATTAATGACTATATCTTTCTAAAGTTATTTTAGGGGCTTGGAACTCTTAAATTTGTAAGCTTATTTTTAGGCAGATGCACGCCCAAGACAGGCATTCTCATCTTTGTTTTGAACTAGCTTCCTTCCCAGTCTCTCTCATTGAATGCCAAGGAAAAGATTCCCAGAATGGGCTCCTCTCTGCTAAAACATCTGCTTGTTGTTTCTCCTCCTGCCAACATCACTGCACAATCTGGCAATCTTCTGAAAACACTTCTGAATCGGACTTGTGGGAGTTTTCTGGAGCTCCTCAAATGCAAACCCATCCAAAATGTGGTAGTGTTCAAATTGGTTTCTATTTTTTCCCCAAGATCCCAAAATGGCAACATACAGACTTCAAGTAATATTTTATTCAAGCTGACCTTGTGGCGCCTCCCCCCACCCCCAATTGCTCTTTGGCTTCATTGAAAATAAAAGGCTGAATAGTGACCATTCATAATATCTCTCCCAGTGTCATTTCCATGACATTATAGATATTAAAAGAACTGGAGTCACAAATAGTACAAAGCCTGGACTATCAATAAGTCATTCATCATCTGGATAAAATGAATGTGGCATATGTCTGGAATCTGTAGAGTACTCCATTTAGAATAGCACCCATACTGGTGACCAAGCCTCAGAAAAGCATAAGTATCATTCACTTCCCAGGAGCATCAATTGTTCCAAAATACTCTCAGAATTGGGACCTTCTATTGCAGTGGTTTTCAACCTTGGCTGCACGTTAGAATCACCTGGGAATCTTTTTAAAATCCTGATTTCTGGGCCTCATCCTCCAGAAATTCTGTTTCTTTGTTACTAATGTTGTGGCCTCACCCCATAACAAAGAAACAGAATTTTCGGAGGATGAAGCCCAGAAATCAGGATTTTAAAAAGATTCTCAGGTGATTCTAATGTGCAGCCAAGGTTGAGAACCACTGTTCTATTGCCTTTTCCTATCTAAGCAGCCATTTCACCTGTCAAGCTAACACTCAGCTTTCCTGAACTAATAACAAATGAAGTGATTGCATTCTCCAAGGCCTAATTTAATCAAATGTGAAAACCTCACCATCAAACATGAAAACATTTTTGTTCATAGTTATGCATTTATACACTGCCCATTTCTTAGTTGTATTAATGTATTCTACATATTCATCTGTTAAAAATAATAGGCAAGAACTATCATCAAAGGCAAGAAATATCTGGTACCAGATGTGGTATCATTCATTATGTAATCCCTGGTTTTAGACATGATGATTTGACCCAAAAGCTCTTAAGTGAACATATATTCCACCTTTTTCAAACTAAGAATGAGTCTTCTCTAGACCTTTATCCTCAACTCTGATTTTAAGTCATAACAACTCATTCTCACCTCACAAACAATTCATAAAAAAATTGGCATTGTTGGTTACACAGAATGATAGAACTGAAGTAAATCAAGTTTATTTCTTCCCCTTTAAAAAATAAAAATAAATAAATAATTGACATTGCATGTAAAATGAGGAGAATTATACATCTGTATAAATAAACCCCACTTTCAACTCTAGTCCCATATTTGACAAACAGTTTTGAAATATGTTAACTCTATCCTCCATCTATTTCAAAACTTTTTAACTCATATACATGGACTGAAAAGGATATCAACCACTTTGTGTAAACTGAAACCCTCAGAGCCCTGGGACTCTTGAAATAGTATGTGTCAAGCCCCTAGGAATGCAGAGGTTAAACTGCAAACCAGAGTCAGGTTGAGGAGGAGACATTCCAGGGTGCAGCCAGATATTCAAGGGCCTCAGACACTCGAATCTATGCTGGTGACCTGGTCTTTGACCCTATCCTATTTTACTTATGCTCTCAAACAGGCCATTTGCCATCTCACACAGCTCTAACTTTACTCTCCTGGAATCTGAAGATTGCTTTTTAGTTTTTATATCTTGTAACCACTCACCTTAAATTGAATCCTTACTGCTACATTTCCCTGGGACCCATAATTGCTCACTCTGGTTGATGAATTTGTTTTGGTGTTATTTCAATTCACCAGGTCATTTTGGGCTTCTACAATTTGTCTTGAACTTCTAATTGAAGACCCTTTTATGAGAACTGAGATCTTTCTTAGTTATTCAGTGCTCAGCAGGTCTAAATGATCTCCCCAAATGTACTTATTATCAATTACTGTCTAAAACACCACTCCATCACTTAATTTGTTTCAAACAATAATAATCATATACTTTGCTCATACATCTGTAATTTTTTGGCAAGTCTTGTTAGGATCAGCTTGTTTCTGCTCTATAAGTGTCAGCTGAAGTGGCACAACTGGGGGTTGTAGGATCTACTTTGAAGATGGTTCATTTACATCATTTACATGACTGGTAAGTGCTGGAAGTTCACCCAGGGCTGTAGGCCATAGGCCTTGGTTCGACTCTATGTGGGCCTTTCCATGAGCTTCTTGGCATATTTATAGCATGATAGCTAAATTATAAGAGTGAGTTTCCCATGAGAAAGGAGGTAGCAGTTGCCACTTTCTTAAGACATAGGCCCAGAAACTGGCATTGTCACTTTCACTGTATTCTATTGGTCAAGCCATCATAAAGATGAAATTCAAGGTAAAGGGACATAAACCCATACTAGTCAATGGTTAAAAGGTCAAAAAATTTTAGGACTATGTTTGAAAACAACCACACTCATGCAGGCCCATATAAATTCTTGCTTTTAAAAAAATCGTTCAGTCTCAAGACAGTTGTTTAGAACAGGATTAAATCCAAGCCTTTCTGAATTCTGATGATTATAATGTCCTTCATCTCTTATTTCATACAGATTTTCCTCAAAGATTGAGTCCTTATCCTATGTTTTCCAAAGCTTAGTCAGCATGATCCTTCACAAATATAGATTTTCCCCCTAGCAGGTACTTCTTTTCCCTGAGAATGGATTATACCTTCTTTCCTATAAAATGCTTCCATGTAATGAAACGCCTTTTGATGCTAAACCTTCCTGCTCACCCCTATTCTACAGATGATCATATAGTTACCACCTGTAAATAAAAGCATTTCTCAATAATCTTCCACAGATAGCTTATTCCAGAGATTCACTAACAATTTATAGTTATAAAGAATCATATCAGTAAAAGAACACTGAACCCAAATAAACAAAATCAGAAATGAAAGAGGCAAAATAACAACAGAACCCACAGAAATACAAAGGATCATAAAAAAAAAAATACTATGAGCAACTCTATTTCAACAAATTGGTCAACCTAGAAGAAGTGGATATATTCCTAGAAAAATATGACCTTCCAAAACGCAATCAGGAAGAATAAAAAAAAATCTGAATAGGCTGGTAACTCTGGAGGAAATTGAAGCAGTAATCAGAAAACTTCCAGAAAACAAAAGCCCTGGACCAGACGGCTTCACAAGAGATTTTTACCAAATATTCAAAGAACTAAAACCTATCCTCCTCAGACTATTCCAAAATATTCAAGAGGAAGGAACACATTCTACGTAGCCAGCATTACCCTAATCCCCAAACCAGAAAAAGATACTACAAAAAAAGAGAATTACAGGCCAATATCTCTGATGGACATTTATGCTAAAGTCCTCAACAAAATCATAGCAAATAGGATCCAGCATGCCATTACAAAAATCATACACCATGACCAAGTGGGATTTATTCCTGGGATGCAAGGATGGTACGATATCTGCAAATCAATAAACATGATAAATCACATAAACAAATTGAGAGATTAAAACCACATAATTATATCAATTGATGCAGAAAAAAATTTGACAAAATCCAACACCCTTTCTTGATAAAAACTCGCAGCAAAATGGGAATAGAGGGATCATAATACAACATAATAAAAGCCATATATGAGAAACCTACAGACAACATAATACTCAATGGGCAAAAACTAAAACCATTTCCCCTAAGAACAGGAACAAGACAGGGAAGCCCACTCTCACCACTCCTGTTCAACATAGTACTGGAAATGCTAGCCATAGCGATCAGAAAAGAGGAAGAAATAAAAGGCATCCAAATTGGAAAAGAAGAAGTAAAAGTGTCATTATTTGCAGATGACATGATAATGTACATAGAAAACCCTAAAGACTACATAAAAAAAACTACTAGCTTTAATAAATGAATTTGGCAATGTAGCAGGATACTACATTAACACCCAGAAATCTATGGCTTTTTTATACACCAACAATGAACTCACAGAAAGGGAAACAAACAAACAAAAAACAATCCCATTTACCATTGCAACAAAAAAATTAAGATACCTAGGAATAAACTTAGCTAAGGAGGTAAAAGACCTGTATGCGGAAAACTACAGGACACTGAAAAAAGAGATAGAGGAAGACATAAACAGATGGAAGACATAAACAGTGTTCATGGATTGGTAGAATCAACATCATTAAAATGTCCATACTACCCAAAGCAATCTATAGATTTAATGCAATCCCCATTAAACTACCAATGGCATATTTCACAGACCTAGAACAAACTCTCCAAAATTCATATGGAACAAAAAAGACCCCAAATAGCCACAGCAATCCTGAGAACAGCCACTGTTCTCAAACTGCCTGGTACTGGCACAAGAACAGACATATAGACCAATCGAACCAAACAGAGAACCTAGAAATCGACCCTAGACTTTATGCTCAATTAATATTTGACAAAGGAGGCAAGAGAATACAATGGAGTCAAGACAGTCTCTTCAATAAATGGTGTTGGGAAAATTGGTCAGATACATGAAAAAAATGAAACTACACCTCCAATTTACACCATACACAAAAATAAAGTCAAAATGGAAAAAGGACATAAACATAAGACAGGAAGCCATAAAAATCTTAGAAGAAAACATAGGCAGCAAAATAGCAGACATATGTCATAGAAATATCTTTACCAATACATGGAAATGGAAACTAAGGAGAAAATAAAAAAAATGGGACTACATCAAAATAAAAAGCTTCTGCACAGCAAAAGAATCCATCAACAAAACAACTGATTCTCAGGCAGAAAAATCCTGGCTCAGGTGCCTTCGTTTGATCACCTCTTTAAGCAACTATGTTTTTGCCATTTGAACATTAATAGCAACAGTGTACTCTGCCCCTTTAACCCGCCACAAGCACACCTTCCCCGGCTCTCTACCATCTACACTAGCTTCTCTACATTCACAACAGGGTTACTTGAATCACTCCAAGTGCCCACACAGCCCAAACACACATGATCTTAGCGGAGTTCACGTCATAGAACCTTCCAGGGCACACAGGTACCTGAGCGATGAAGACCACGTGCTTCCCACTGAACTTCTTCTCCAGCTCGCGTACCAGCCGGACCTGGATTTTCTGGAAAGACTTGAGTTGAGGAACTGGGACGAAGATGATAATAGCTTTCCGACCGCCACCAACTTCGATTTCCTAAAAAAGACAAATCCGGAATCAGCCTACGTGCCCACCAGCAGATGAGTGGGTTAAAAACTGTGGTACGTCTACACAATGGAATACTACACTGCAGTAAAAAAGAAGGAATTCTTACCATTTGCAACAGCATGGATGGAACTGGAGAGCATTATGCTAAGTGAAATAAGCCAGTCAGAGAAAGATAAATATCACATGATCTCACTTATTTGTGGAATATAATGAACAACATAAACTGATGAACAAAAATAGATCCAGAGACAGAGAAGCATTGAACAGACTGCCAAACCTCAGTGGGAAGACGGGGGTGGGGAGGAAGGGGGAAAGAAATCAATCAAAGGACTTGTATTTATGCATATAAGCATAACCAATGGACATCGACACTAGCGGGGTGAGGGCTTTTGCTGAGGGTGGGGGTGGCCAGAGAGTGGTTAATGGCAGAAAAGGAGACATATGTAATACTATATGTAATACTTTAAAAATAGTTTTTTAAAAACTTGACAGCTGCCAGACAGGCAAATTGGGCAATCGTTCCCGCCTGCTTGCACCCAAGGGTTGTGGTGTCAGAAAAAAGCAGAGAAGCACTGAATCACTTGGAGCTTCAACATGGTGCTAAAAGCCAAAAACATTTTCTGATAGTGGTCAGCACTTAACTACCTAACAGGAAACCCAGAACTGGCAGACAGAACAGAAGAGTGGGATCCTAAAGCAGTCCCCATGGAGCATTAGAACATGGGTGAAGCAAATATCACTTTTTTATTTTACTTTTTTTTAGTATCATTTATTTTATTTTTATTGTTATTTTTTTAATGTATTCTTCCTTGCTTCTCATTTTTTCATCCTGTTTATCTTTTCCTTTCCCTGCCTTAGTTTTTCTCTTTTTTTTTCATTTCACCCCTTTTAAAAAATTGATTTTCTTCATCTGCATTATTGATGTGTTGTTATTGTAGTCACTGTTGGCTTATTCATATATCTAATTTCCTCTTCTCTACTCTGACTCCATTTCCCCTTCTTTTTCTCTTCCTTTGCTACTCATTTTTTTTTCTTTTCCTCTCCTTTCCTCTCTTGCTCTTTTTTCCTCCTAATTTTTAAATTACTTTAATTTTCTAAATTCAGGAATATCTGCTCTCTCCTCTATTCTCCTTTTCAAATAAATAAATAAATAAATAAATAAATAAATAAAAATATTTATTTTCTCTTTCTTCTCGTCCACTCATTCTCATTCTTCCTCCTCTATAATAAAGTGTGTTCCATCCAGTATTCATTCAAATCTTTAACCTTATTTTCTGTATTTAAGCTCTGCCTATACAGATCCCCCCCCCACCTTTTTTCTGGGTATTTTTTGTTTAAGCTTTTCAGGTTTTTTTTGTTGTTGTTTGTTTTCTCCTGATATACTGTCTTTTTTTTTCCCCGTTCCTTTACTTTTTGTCTATTCTCGCTACCATTTTTGCACTCTTTTTTCTTTCTTAATTCTTTCTGGTGGTCACTTTTAGTGGGATTAGAGGTGTCCTGTGTACATTCATGTTCTGATCCTTTTGTGTCATGCCTTGTCATGTTGTATTTTGTACTATTCGGCCAGCACCTCCACAATGGTTGTCATGATGTAGTAGAGAGCAAGCCACATAATCAGACACTGTGAGAGGAGACTCCATCCACAAACAGGACAATAAAATTCAAGACCCAAATATATTAAGAGAACCCAAATATCTCAAGTAGCGGGCATACCTAGAATACCCAGCTCAGAAGACCTGAGAGACTGCACCACTGGGTCCCACAAATCATCTACATAAGACAAATTCAAAAAATGTGGGTAGCATAGCAGTTAGATTTAATATACATAAACAATCACAAAGAAACAGCAAAAATGGCAAGACCAAAAAAAAAACTCATATGAAAGAAAAGGAGGAATCATCAGAAAAGGAGATAAATGAAATTGAGGCAAGCAATTTGTCAGAGAAAGAATTCAGAGTAATGCTTATTAGGATACTCAAAAGTCTGGAAGACAAATTCACCAGCATGTGTAAGATACAAGAGGGCATGAAAAATGACATAGCTGCAATAAAGAACACAATGGCAGGTTTCAGCAGTAGACTAGAAAAGCTGGTGGCCAAATCAACAAGTTAGAAGACCAATTAGAAAAACACACAAGCAGAGTGGCAACCAGAAAAGGAAATGTAAAACGCAGGAAGATCTGTCTATAAGAGACCCACCTCAGAATAAAGGTCTCACACAGACTGAAAATGAAGGGATTGAAAAAAAATATCAGGCAAATGAAAATAAAAAATAAAAATGCTTGGGGTAGCAATACTTATATATGACAAAATAGACATCAAAGTGAAGGCCATAACAGGAGATAAAAAAGGCCACTTCATAATACTAAAGTGATCAATTCAACAAGAGGATATAACTCAGGTAAACATATATGCACCCAATGCAGGAGCACCCAAATACATAATAAAAACTTCTGGAAGATATCAAAAGAGAGATCGACAGCAATACAATCAAAGTAGGGGACTCTAATGCCCTATTGATACCATTGGATAAATCCTCTAGAAAACAATCATCAAAAGAACAGCAACCCTAGGAGGATGCTGCATGGACATGCTCCCAGGAACAAGCTGGAATTACAACTGAAATATGGAAAGGCTTCCTGAATAATCAACAGAAAACTCACAGGAGAGAACCCTGATACCCAAGGACCAAAGGTGGAGACAGCATAGAGACTGGTAGGAGGGGCGGAGGCATAAAAGGGCTAGCTGGGCACCCACAGACAGCAACTCAAGTGCAGGAGAGATATCTAAGTTCGGGGGGGGGGTGCCACTGAGAACTCTGGGATCTAATCCCGAAGCTTGGATCCCCAGCAGAGAGCACCAAATCTGAGGAGGGTACCCACATAACATCTTCCTATGAAAAGCAGTGGGGTGTTGTTTACCAGGGAGTGGCAGCTGACAGTTCAGGCACCCTCTTGAAGGGCCCCCACACAAAAATTCCCTGTGGAGCCACCCACCTTGTGATATGTGAGAGGGAGAGTGAAGTGGACTGGAGCTGTGTGAGCAGAACCCAGGACTAGGGACTCAGAAGGCAGGCACCCCAAGTTTCCGGGGCTGAGTCATTCCCTCACACAGCAGAGGACATCTTCCCCACATAAACATCTGCCTTGCCTGGGGGAAAGGCAGTTGACACACCCTATTGGAAAACACCTTGCCCTCAGGCCACTTAAGAGATTAAAAGTAACAATTAGCCTCCTAGCAGAAGTAACAGCCCCACCCTGTTGAAAAAACTCTCACCACACCTGAGGATGATTGCCTGGGGGCAATTCAAGTCACAATCCTATTAGTCTGTAGACCAGTGGTTCTTAACCTTGGCTGCATATTAGAATCACCTGGGAATCTTTTTAAAATCCTGATTTCTGGGCCTCATCCTCTGGAAATTCTGTTTCTTTGTTACTAATGTTGTGGCCTCACCCCATAACAAAGAAACAGAATTTCCGGAGGATGAGGCCCAGAAATCAGGATTTTAAAAAGATTCCCAGGTGATTCTAATGTGCAGCCAAGGTTGAGAACCACTGCTGTAGACAGAGTAGGTCTCTGCAGGCTTTGAGTCTTTGCCTGATCCAATTAGTCAGAAACAACTGTTAACACTGTCCTGCACTAGAGATTGAGAGGTGTAGAGGATCTACCTAATACATAATCACAAATCTAAACAGACAACCAAACTGAGGAAACAAGGAACAACCCCCAAATGAAAGAACTAAAGAATTCGCCAGAAGAAGAGATAAATGAAGCAGAGGTATGTAATTTATCTGAAACAGAGTTCAGAGTAATGATGTTAAAAATGCTCAACAGTATGAAAAAAGATATAGTAACTCAAAAAAGAGATAAAGAATGAGATAAAGAATCTAAACAGACAACCAAACTGAGGAAACAAGGAACAACCCCCAAATGAAAGAACTAAAGAATTCGCCAGAAGAAGAGATAAATGAAGCAGAGGTATGTAATTTATCTGAAACAGAGTTCAGAGTAATGATGTTAAAAATGCTCAACAGTATGAAAAAAGATATAGTAACTCAAAAAAGAGATAAAGAATGAGATAAAGAATGACACAACACAAATACAGAAGATATTGGAAGGAATACAAAGCAGATTAGGAGAAGCTAATGATCAAATCAGTGAATTAGAAGACAGAGTTGAAAATATCACTCAATTAGAGAACCAAAAAGAAAAAACAATTAAACTGGAGGATAGCTTAAGGGAGCTGTGGGACAATGTGAAATGTAACAATATTCGAATAGCAGGTGTGCCAGAAGAGGCAGAAAGGAAGAAAGGAATAGAGAAGGTGTTTGAAGAAATAATGGTAGAAAACTTCCCTAACCTGGTAAAGGAAAAAGTCAAACAAGTTCAGGAGGCACAGAGAACCACAAACAAGAATAATCCAAACTGACCCATGCCCAGACACATCATAATTAAAA